TTTGCTGGTGTACATCTTCTTCTTCTCCTTTCTTTCATCTTCTTCTTCTCCTTTCTTTCTTCTTCTTCTTCTTCTTCTTCTTCTTCTTCTTCCATCATCTTCTTCTTTCTTTCATCTTCTTCTTCGTCTTTCTTTCATCTTCTTCTTCTTCTTTCTTTCATCTTCTTCTTTTTCTTTCTTTCCCTCTCCCTCCTCTCAAGTCCATTCATTTCTTTTTGCAATTGGACGGCATTGTACTTTCTGATGAATGTGTAGTTCGAAATTGGCCAGATCATAACAATTATCTGGGTGAGGACGCCGCCCGGCCGGTTGGGCCTGGGGGGGGCGCCCAGGTAAACCGGGCGGGCCAAAAAAACGCCCATAATTTTTTTTTATTTTTATTTTTGAAAACGCGGTTGTTCTGCACTCGGCGAGTGGACCCCGCATCCGCAATAAAATTTTGGTTTTGGGGGGTGGGTGAGGGGGGTTGGTCTGGGTGTATGTTGCCTACTGTATGCTGAATGTATGTCATCGGATATGTACTGGGTTGGGGGCTCTGCATGTTTGTTGCCTGCTGCTAAGATGTCTGCTGCATGCATGTTATCGACCCTTTCATTCTGAAGAAGAACCAAGACTGACAAAAAACGAAGAATGACTGACGCTAAGAAGAAGAAGAAGAAGACTTGCAGACTGACAACTTGCAGGAAATCTATGAGTTCTTCAGCAACATATCAGCTGCATATGGCCACTTTCGATCCACATTCGAACACATCTCTGAGATGGGAGGGAGGGATGGCAAGATGGGATGGATGGAGGGAGGGATGGATGATGGACGATGGAGAATGACGAGATGGGATGGAGGGAGGGATGGATAGATGGGAGGATGGAGAGAGGCAGGGAGGGAGTAAAGAAGAAGAAGGATGGATGATGGATGATGCAGAATGGCGAGATGGGATGGAGGGAGGGATGGATAGATGGGAGGATGGAGAAAGGCATGGAGGGAGGGAGGGATAGATGGGAGGATGGAGAAAGGCAGGGAGGGAGGG